CCCCCCCCTACTTAATCAGAAAAACGAGTCGAAATAGATCAGTATAATAAGCTGAACAATCGAAGAGGATGAAAAGGGAGGGATAGAGGTGGAAAGATGATGGGTTATTCGTCAAAACTGTGAATGCAACGGCGGGCTTAAGGAATTCAAGGTTAAATAAAGCACTTATAGAAAAGCACTGATCTCATGACCTATGTTCAATGATGATTAGTTGTGAGTCATCGGGTACACAGTACATAGTGAGAAAAAAAGACCAATGATTCCAAGCGCAAAGGTTTTGCAGGAGATATCTTGAAGTTACTCCTACGAGAAATTCCCATTCCATCACCTCATGTTGACCAGAAGTAATCAGAGAAGTTGGTCGCCAGCAGTACTGGATGTGCATAGTAGATATTGTTCTCGTAGTATCTGACGTCATAAACGCGCATTTCGACCAGCAGAGAACTTGGTTTCAAGATAATCATCACAACTACAGGAGTCAAAGATTAGTTTAAATTGTCGAGAATTATACGGATGAAAGACTGGGATAATGTCTTAACAGCCCTTAACACTTTTCGCTAAACGTATGGTAAGTGAAAAATTAGAGCGTTGGCCAATAAATAGGAAAAAAATTATTTACTAAGAATCAACAAATTTAACCCAATTGTGGATACCTTTGAAGAGGAAATAATCACCTCATATAAACCTGGAAATTATCAATTATAGCGCGACCAAATAGGAAACTCACGGTATTTTTGGTTGCGTCCCTATAGAAACTGCGAGCGAAATCTGCATAGCCCTTGGAGGTGGCGAGAAGGATGAGACCTGAGTAGGCAGCTGGCAGCGGTTCAACTATGAAAATTTCAGAGGGAGGCGTCCAGGCATCCGAAAAGGAACGTTTTGAAACCTTGTTCCCCTTTCCAGCAACTAGGACTGAAACCGGGTGTCTGGTATCGGAGGGATCGGTGAGAGAGAAGGGATTTGACTCTGAGAGAAGATCTCGCAGGTGGGGAAGGCACTCGTAAATACTTAGTGGACGTGATTGAGAGGTCGCGCCCTTGTTAATGAAAGTAATAAGATCGAATGATTGGGGGAAAGCATAGTTGAGAAGAATTATCGAAGCAATTAAATAACAAAAAAAACACTTGGGAATGTTAAGCGCATCGATGAAGTTTGTACACTAGAGATGGAACAAAAATGGACAGATGACCTATCGAAAAGACATTGCTTCTACGATGGCGATAGATAGGAAGTCAAGTAGAATATTCTCGGTTAAACTAGGCGAAGTCCACAAATTTCTTTTCCAGTGCAGCGATTTATCGATTAATTAACTGCCTAGGAGACTGATCGCTGCTCAACGCTGGAAAGCAAGAATACTTTCCCAATAAGGGGACCATAATTTGAGCTGCAGACCATAAGTATCAGCCCAAGGGTTGCTCAACCCGTATATCACAGGTACGCAATACCATATCTGACTGTCAATTTTTTATCAAAGAGCAAAGAGCACGAAATCAGTCAATTGTATTATGTTACCTCAGTCTCCTCAAAATTCACTATTCTACTCCATCCACATTGCCTCCCCACTCATTCATTAGCTTCCAGTAAATAAATTATCCTATTTTTAACTCTTGGTCATTTTCATCACAGCACATTTAAATCCTTACCCTGAATAAATTAAACGGAAGTCGAAACTCACAGAAATAAGAGGAGAAGCGGAAAGAGCATGTCCATAAACGGAGAGGTTGGCAGGTTTGTCGATGACAAGGAAGTGTCGACCATAAGCCACTGCACGAGATGCGAGAAAACGAGCCAGCGTAAGTGGATCCCTGGCAAGCTCACCGCTACGTACTCCACAAGCATATTCATCATCGAATGGGTTTGACAAGGATATATCTGACGATTTTGGCGTTGGCTCCGTTGAGGAAGACAAACGGAAGATGGGAGTAGCTAATTTGAAAAATGGGCAATCTATCTAGTGGTTAAATAAAAGAGAGGAAACAATGCTAAGGGAAATAAAACAGAACAGGGAAATATGATAAAAGACATTAACCTTAGAGAGACGCCGAACAAGAGACAACATAATTTCTGACGATAGTGTGTTTAAGTTTGCTCAAATATTCTAAAACGTAAAATAAATAAGGCAATCGGATATTATGATCACTATAATCCAATAATTTGCTAAATTATAAAAACCGATCAATACAAAATTAAAATTCTACATTTTTAATGAATAGAGAACAAGAAACAACTGATAAATACAGTCCGATAAAAAACGTGACTTACCACAGCCCAGTGTTTTTGAATTAGTGTTACTTAATGCAATTAAGCTAATGAAATTGATATTATATATATCACATTTGACGGACAGTTAATAACTGCAAAATGGCAGGATCTGCAGATTTTAAAATTATGTTACTTATTTATTTTATTTAAGAAGAGTGTCTGTGAGCTTTTATTATTTCATATATGGGTTAATTATATTTAATCAGTTAGTTTAAAATTTTAACATACATATATCCAGAAATTCATCAAATATAAAGTCTGACAAGGGAGCTTCCATTATTTAGTAAAATATTATTATTATTATTATTTCAACCGGCAGGCTTTATGATATTTATCACAAGCCCCTTAATTGACTTCAGCTTTTTCCACAAGGGGGGGGGGAGGTACATATATAGCAGTTAATAAATAGCAGTTCATTAGTTGTCTTCTGGCTTCCCAGTATCTCTGGGTTTCCGTCGTTGCCTCTAGAGCTGGACACCGAATCAGGTGGGTCTTCTCCATTTCCTCCTGTAGGTTACACAGGGGGGGCATGTTGGTTGAGTGTAGACTCCTAATCTGTGAAGGTATATTGTCGGGTAATTGTATCCGGTACGTAGTCTAAACTCAGCAACGGCTTCGATTCTGTCCGATACGTAGTCTAAACTCAGCAACGGCTTCGATTCTCGCCAGCCGGGTATGTCGGAGAGTGCCACTGTCCACTATTTCTCCTCTAATCGGAGAGTGCCACTGTCCACTGTTTCCCCTTTGTTTCCACTGTCCACTGTTTCTCCTTTGTTAAGCTTTAAGTTCGTTGCACCACATGAATTCTCTCCTGATTAAGGCCTTCATTGTGTGGACTGTCCGATACGTAGTCTAAACTCAGCAACGGCTTCGATTCTCGCCAGCCGGGTATGTCGGAGAGTGCCACTGTCCACTATTTCTCCTTGGTTATGTCGGAGAGTGCCACTGTTCACTGTTTCTCCTTTGTTAAGCTTTAAGTTCGTTGCACCGGGTCTTGAATTCTCTCTTCGAGCTTTAATTTCGTTGCACATTGAGGTCGGGAATTCTTTTCTGATTAAGGCCTTCATTGTGTGGGAAGACCCCGGTCCATAATTCTTTATTGTGGTCTATGCCTTGCAAAATCGTTGTCAACTTTCTTAGCAAGTGCGTCAGCAAGCTCATTGGCTTTTAATGCCACTGTGACTAGGAATCCATTGTAGGACCACTGTTTTGTTTTTCTCTCTCAGCAGCTCATAGAATTTTTTACATTCGTATATCTCAGCTGTTTTGGGTGGCTCTCTGCTTCAGATTGAGTTTATTGTTGATTGTGAGTCCAAAAGTATCACCGCTTTGGTGAATTTCGTATGACTGTGCGTCCGGAAGTATCACCGCTTTGGTGAATTTCGTATCCAGGCAACATAATTGTCATGGTGCTATCCTAATGGCCTCTATTTCTCCTTCAAAAGCGAGTGCTATTCCAGTGGCCTCTATTTCTCCTTCGGAAGCGAATCTATTGTGTCCCGCTGCTGCGTAGAAAGAGAAGAGCTCAGAGTAGTCACCTGCACCAACGGTCATTCCGACATAAGTGAACTCATTAGTTTTTTTCTAGGCTAGTATCCTTGTATCTTAAAAGCTGTGGAGGGTCAAAGAAAACGTTTACAATACAGTTTTCGCGGTGTTGATAAGCATTCCATTGTTGTCGCGTCAATTTGCTAAAAGTTTCAATGCATAATTTATGGTATTTTTCTTCCTCTCCTGAGAGTTTTTCTTAGGGGCGGAATACCATAGAACAAGATAATCTTTTTTTCTTAGGGGCGGAATACCATAGAACAAGATAATCTGCATAAAATAAGCACTTGATGCCCGTGACTGTCTGTACCAGTTTGGCTATATCGTTGATAAAGACATTGAAAAGAGTGGAGCTTGTGACAGCTCCCCGTGGAAGGCCTGTTTGTAAAAGATTTTGATTTGGATGGATCATTTCCATATCTGACTTTACATGATCTTGTCCAATGAATGCTTTTATCCAGTTTAGCATGTTATGCTTAATACCAATCTTTGCCAATTTTAGAATTAGCTTCTCTTTCCATACTAAGTCATATGCTGATTTGAAGTCGACGAAAACAGCCGTAAGGGTATTTCTTGCATCAAGGCCATCTTTGATATGTTGGGAGAGAGTGGCTACTTGTTGGTTAATTGACCTTTGTGGCCTAAAATCTGCTTGTTCATTCCTAAGAATATTGTTAGTCTCAAGGAACCAGGTGAGCCACCTGTTAACCATTCTTTCCATAAGTTTAGCCAGCACGCTTGTGAGGGAGATAGGCCTATAGTTGTCAAAGTTGCTAGGGTCTTTGCCCTTTTTAGTACTGGTATTACTATGGCAACGTTCCATTGGTTAGGTACGAGACTGGTCTCCCAGATTTTGTTGAAAAGCGTCAGCATGGTTTCCTTGGCTGTTGGTCCCATTCTAATTAGAAATACCGGATGAATACCGTCTTCGCCAGGAGACTTATTTGCACTTTAGCTATTTTATCGCAGCTTTAAGTTCGCAAGGTCNAGGTTTCTCAGAAATTTGAAAGTGCGTTGGCTATCACTTTGATAGTTGATATTTGAGATGAAGTTGTCGAAGGAAGTCCGTTTAGCTTGTAAGATGGCTCACCTTAGGACAACTGACTGCTGTCTCCAGGCTTGTACGTCTTCCATTCTTCCAGTCTGATCAGCAGTGTTGAGAAGGGCGTCCCTCTTTCTTCTCAGTTCCTCAAGGTGTCTAGATCAAAACACTCGATAGTGTTTAGTCTTGCCTCGGAAAATAGCTTTCTTTGCACATCTGATCATAATATTCGTGATGTCATTACAAAGTTTGTCAGGGTGTTGGTTGAAGTTGAGGGGACTTGTGTGAAGTTCATTCTCTAAAAGGTTTGTGAATCTAGACCGGTCGGCCCTCTTGAAGTTCCATGATAGCTTAGTTGGCACTTTCGTTGTCAGGCTTTTGCTGCCGATGTTAATACTAGCAATGATTGGTCTGTGACCAGAAGCAGGATCGTCAATTATCCTGCGGCGTGTATGCTCGCTGATGTCGCTTGAAGTCAGAAGCAAGTCAGGAGTTGTTCTGGTTCCATTGTAGTGCAAATATTTAGCAGGATCCTCATTGCTGTAAATAAGTTCCAGAGGGTTGCTGTTAAACATGTCTCCGATTTCCTTTCCAGCAATGTTTGTTTTCTTATAGCCCCATCTGGTGGAATGGGGGTTGACGTCGCCTAGTACTATAGTTCTGTGTGCGATGTTCAGAAAATCAAACTTGGGACTATTCTGGGGTGGATTATAGACTGCATATATCTAGAAGTGGTTTTGACATTTTCAAACACTCGATCTGATTATTTCACATATGTATTGCGTCGAGCCCATACTCTTGATTAGATCGTAGTGTGAGGTGAGGCCTTCTTTAACTCCAGTTAGAATTCCACTTGCAACTTGCCGGTACTTAGGTACAGGGTGTAACCTGGGAATTGGTAGTATTTCAGTTTGTCATCCAAAAGGTTTGCTTCCATAATTGTGAAATGTCTACATCATAGGTATGTAGGATTTTCTGGACTTGGACCTTTGTGTCCGGAGACATTCCTCCAGCATTCCACTGGAGGATCTGAAGACGCTGTGATTCGCCCTGACGAGGACGATTTCTCTAATAGCTTCGTTTCAAGCTAATCATAATAAATTGAAGTCAAAATCCGAGTAATAGACTTTTTTTGCCGTATGAATAAACATTTGCCAGGGTGCACCACGTGGAGGTAAGTCTATCGCGCCCCCCCCCCCTTATTTAGTAAATGTGTATAAGGAATCGAAACCTCCGTGGATAGAAATACATTTTAAGCGATAAAAAACTGTGAACGTTAAAAAGATTTTGAATAAGAAAGTAACAATGGTGTTTCGGTGACGCAGACTTAACAGTAGATTCATGAAGTTTTCTAGGCTCTCTTAGTTTTCTTCTAATGAATATAGTTGCTGGGATTCCAATACAGAGAAAGTTTTCCGTCCTTTCAAATATTCGAAACCTTTTCAAATATACACTAATAACAAGAATGAAATTTTGCAAGAAGTCAAATCAATACTTAAACAGTACTTTTTGTTGGACCAACCTCCTGCGACTATATATTTATATCAAATGGCAGGCGTTTTGATAGTTATCATTAGCCCTTTAGTTGACCTCAGGCTTCACAGAGGGGAAGGAACATCAAAGTGAAAAAAAGTCGAGAGGGGGAGGGGAGGAACAGAAGAGTGTTTCAAAGACGAGGGTAGAAAAGGTAGAAAAAGGGTGAGGTGAGTACTGTGAAAATGGATAAATACGACATACAGTGTGGTCATGGCAGTTTGAAGTGAGAAGTCAACTGCCAGTTAATAGACTTTTTTTGGCGTATGAGTATTCGTTGCCCAGGGTGCACCACGTGGAGGTAAGTCTATCACACACCCCCCC